GAGGGGAGGGGTCAGGACCAGGGACAGCCCGACCCTGGTAAAGGAGAGGACCTTGGCAAAGGACAGGTTGAGAGGGTAAGGGGCGGGCTGGAATGCGGGACAGGGCACGTTTACTGGCAAGGGTGAGGGCAACGGCCAGGGCTGGGGAGGTGCCCGCCCGAGGTCCCTGTCGTGAGGGTCCGTGCAGGGGTGAGGGGCAGGGGCAGGTGGAAGGCTGGGGAGAAGCGGGGCGGACTGGCTGCTGCATAAGGCGGAGAGCTGGCTGGACAGGATGGACGCCGAACAGCGGGAACCTTGCGGGCTGGGCGTAGTCTGCGGGGCTAGGCCTGCGGGGTGGAAGCGCCGCGAGATGGGCGGGGCTTGGTTGAGTGGAGCGGAAGTGCGGCGGGCTGGGCGGGGCTTGGCCTGCGGGCCGGAAGGCCTGGAGACGGGAGGGGTTCGGCCTACGGGGCGGAAGTGAGGTGGGCGGAGCGGGGTTTGGTTGAGTGGAGCGGAAGCGCGGGGGGGCGGAAGTGCTGTGGGGTGGGCGGGGTTTAGCTTTCGGGGCGGAAGCGCGGCGGAGTGGGCGGAGTTTGGCTGAGTGGAGCGGAAGCACCGTGGGATGGGTGGGGTTTAGCTGAGTGGGACGGAAGCGCGGTGGGGTAGGCAGGGTTTGGCTGAGCAGAGCGGAAGCGCGGTGGGATGGGCGGGGTTTGGCCTGCGGGGCGGAAGCGCGGTGGGATGGGCGGGGTTTGGCCTGCGGGGCGGAAGCGCGGTGAGGTGGGCGGGGTTTGGGCCGCCAGGCGGGCGCGCGGTAGGATCGGTGGGGGATTGGCCCGCCGGGCGGAAGCGCGGTGAGGTGGGCGGGGTTTGGCTGAGACGCGCGGAAGCGTGTGGAGAGAGCGGCCGAGGCGGCGGCGAGAGATGGAGCCGCAGCTTGGACTCCACGAGTTGCTGCACGTTTTCTCCTTCCTGGAGGCCCGAGACCTGCTCTGCGCCGCCCAGGTGGACAAGGTAGCGCGCTCTGTCCGGGGCGGAGGCAGGGCCGGCTCTTTGGCCCCTGAGTGTTCACGGCTGGCTCTGCTTTGGGTTGGGTTCCCCCTTTGGGAGGCGGCGTCAGGCGGCCCTGATGCCGTGGTTGGCGGAGCGCTCTTGGCCCCCGGGGTGGTGCCCTGGGCGGCCTTTGTGGGGGCAGAGCCCAGAACCCTGCTCGGTTCGCCTGCAGCGGGCGCCCTGCCATCAGGCTTCAGAGTTAAGATGGGCTTGGGCACCGGTTTCCTTGCCCCTCCCACTTCTTCGGGAATATTCTGGAACTTTCCTCTTGGGGCCTGCCCGGGAAGCCAAGAGTCTCCTGCGAGTGGCACGTCTCCTGCGCTCCGGCCTCGCCACACCTGGAGCTTGGCTGTGCTTGCCCTGTGCCTGTTGAGTGCGTCCGCCTGCGCCTGCGCGTGCGCCCCCGTGTGCACCGGCGCTGAGCTCGTCCCAGAGCTGCGCACAGCTTCTCTGAGGGTAGAGCGTATTTAGTTAACGTCTGCTTTTCTCGTTACCGAGAGCGAGGATTTCTGTGGTTTGCGTCCTGTTGTCTCTAGCACCCGGTGAATTTGTTGGCACTGAGGCTAACCTCTGTAAATACTTGCTGAGTAAATGAGTTTCGTTAAGGAACCTAAAATACGTTTGTTAACCTTAGAAATGAAACTGCCAGTTATTTTACCAGCAAAAATGTGTTTATTTGGGAATAGCAGAGAATTGCACTTTGGGACAAGCAACTTAAGAGTAAAATCATAGGCAGTCCAGAAAACAAAGGCCAGGAGGCTTTTTTATAGAGGAAGGTGGGGAAGGCTGTTGTAAACTGAACGTCCACTGGACTAAGCTGCGAGCTGGAAGTGTAGTGGCCTCTCGTTCGCTGGGCTGCTGCTGGGGCAGGAAATCTTCCTCTGGATAGTAATGTAGTAGCTGAACTAGTGTCAGTTCGCAATGTGCATCTCTTCCTGTGGGGTCTGCCCTTGTCAAGTGCTGTGGCTTGAAGAGTTTCCCCCCTGCTGGTCTCCTAAGGTTTTCCTTATTAATTTTAACACATTATCACACCATTTTACAGAAAGATCAATAAGCAGATTTCTTTTTAGCAGAGTTTTACTTGAATTCTATAACTCATTTAAAATGTGTCACGTAAAATACTGGGTTTTCATCCCTTTTTTACCAGTAAGGAAACTGAGTATCACCCAGGTAATCCCACACAGGCCTGGGTTTTCCCAGCAGCAGGCTGGGCATAGTACAGGGGCAGAGGTTGAAAGGAGGGTGACTTAAAACGTTGGAAAGCACCAGCTTCGCTGGGAGATAGTTTCCCCCTTAGGAAAGATGAGGTCAGTAATTTTTGCCTCACCGTGTCATCCTGAAGGCCAGGATCTAACAGGGAGCCTCGAAGGTGGGGGAGGGGGGCATTTATCAGGTTATATTACACATTATACTTCTGTATTTGGAAAATAAGGTCTCAGTTGGGTTTTGAACCGGGAGATACAGAAAAGGAAAATGTGTAAATCTTCTTGCCTGACTTGGCTTGATTTTTGCAAAATACAAATTTTACTTTCCTTCCAAAAATACTGAAACTTTGATCTAGCAGGTGACCAAGGGCTGTGGAAGTGGGGGCCTGGGCTCAGAGGAAGGTGGTTCCTTCTGTCACGGATCAGAAAGCCAGTTTCTGGGATGGGGCCTTCAGTGGAGCTGGACCACAGACAACTCCAGAGTGGTTCCCACTGAAGCTGTGTGGGCTTCAGAATCCAGGCTGGCCTAGGCTGGAGAGGCCAGAGAGTCCCAGGATGCAGCTGTGGGCCTGATGGAGGGCAGGCATGGCACTCTGGTCCCCTCCCGGGACTGACGCTGCGCCTCTCCCAAATGCAGGGGGCAGTTTGTGAAGCAGGGCTGACTGTGTGTCGTGTCCCCCCGCCCCCAGGTGGCTGTCGGTTCCACCATCTCGGCATCTCTGGGACATCCTCTAGGCCAGTGCAGCAGCCATTCTGGGGCCTGTTGCCTTGCCCTCGTTTCCAGTTCTGACGGCAGCTAATGATCCTCCTCCTAAAACAAGTGTAACCCTGCCACTCCTCCAGCCACAGTCCCCGAATGGCTTCACACAGTTTTTTGCCGGTAGGACTTTGGCGTTTCCATCTAAGCAGATCTCCAGCTCCTTTCCCCAGAACATTATACTCCAATTATGGCAGAACACTCATGTTTTCACACTTCAGAATCTTTGCTCGAGTAGTCTTATCTCTCCCTAGAGTGCTTCAGACACTGGGGACTTGATCAGTAGTCACCTCTGAGCCCCTTGGCTCCACTGAGTTGGGCATTCTCTCCTTTCTCACTCATTTGGTTGTTTTTATTGCCCTGTCCAAATAGGTCTCATTCCCCAGGGTGAATCTTCTTTCCTGCTGGCACCAAGTCTGATTTAGCTCTTTGCCCCTTCTATAGTGTCCGGCAAGCTAGGCGCCAACTGCACGTTGACTGACCAGACATTGTCTTCTCTGCCCTCTTCTAGGTCTGGAATGAAGTTTCAAGGACCAAGGAGCTGTGGAGGTGAGTGAAGGAAAAGCCAAGCATGGTCAGGAGAGTGTCCCATGAAGGTGAGGGGTGCACTGGATAAGTGGTCTGAGCACTGTGTTTCTGGCTTTGATGCATACACAAGAAAGGACAATCCACAGAACTTATCAGCAGGAAACCCCCCTCCCCGTTAGGCGTGTAATACTCTCTTTTTTTAATAGTATATTGAAATATAAGAGTTTTATTAATTGAGTGGGAGATTGATAAACATCAGGAGTACCAAACTCAGGGGCAGATGCATACAGCTGGCTGACAAGATAAATCAACAAACTACTTTTATTTGAACTCATCTTTGGTGTAACAACATAGCTGTATAAGCACATACGATATTAAAAAAAAAAAATAACATTGGGGCACCTGTGTGGCTCAGTCAGTTAAGTGTCTACCTTTGGCTCAGGTCCTGACCTCAGAGTCGCGGAAGGGGCTGGGGCTCAGACTCCCTGCTCCGTGGGAAGTCTGCTTCTCCCTCTCCCTCTGTCCCTCCCCCCTGCTCGTGCTCTCTCTTGTGTACGTGCTCACTCTCTCTCTCAAATGAATAAAATCTTTAAAAAAAAAAAATAAAAAAATTTTGAAAATAAAAAATATTTTAATCATTAATTACATTTTTCTTTCTTACTCATTTTTCCTTTGGAACCTGACTTCTTTTGTCCCAAGAAAGGAGTGTCATCGTCTCTCTCTTGCTGAATGTAAGACAGACTGTAGCCTTGACTGTCAGCGGAGCTGTATTTAGTTTTAGCCACTACAGCTGTGCACACGTGAAGGGGCTGCCAAACATGGAGGGAATCTCTGCTTGATGGGTTTCGTTTTCAGGATAACTGTGCATTGAGATATTTGAGAATTCTAGAATGCCAGTGTTGCTGTATTTAGTGTTCAGTGTCTTATAGTATCTGTTGCTTTTCATTCACTTGTTATTGCTAATGATACTAGTTAGAAAAATTATATTATTATAATTAACATAATTTATTATAAAATATATTTTTAATATTAATTTTAATATTAACTAATATTAAATTCTTAATATAAATATAAATTACATTAATTCCTGTAGTTTTGAAGAGAACTTTTGTTGGCTTTCTGTCTTTATCTATAGTTTGGGGGAATGTACTCCAGATAGAACATTCAGTTCTGGAAATTGATTTCTCTGTAGGGAGTGGACAAGATTATGTCTTGCCAAATATGATGCTCAGTGACTTTGTGTCATAGGAAATAAATGAACTGACTCATGGGTTGGTGCGAGTATTTGTGGAAGACCTAGCAGAGCAATATTCACGTGTTGGAATAGAGAGGTAGGATGCCAGCCGCAACCCTGGTCTTCATAGCTGATAGGCTAGGAGAGGAATTTCTGTTTGAGTGACAGGAGTAAGTTTCTTTCAGCCGTTCAAAAAATACCTTCAGTGGCTTATCACCTAACCTCCATACAGATGTCACGTGTTACCACGTGGTGCTTCTGATTCCCCAGGTAGATGGTTTGGCTTCTACAAGCCAGGTCACGAACAGGTTTCAGTTCATTACTATTTCATACTGTTTGGTGCTAAGTGTTTTTAGCATAAAGTCATTCCTCAGCATTGTATCCTTGAACTGTGTTCTTATAAAAACAGTGGGTTTGTTTCTGGAGCTGGGACAACAGCATTTCAGGAGCATCGTCATCTGTGGTCAGATGCATGTATCATTTCTGATGCTGTGTCTGTCATGGGTACCAGGCCCCAAAGTTCTCCGGGCCCACTAGAAATTCTTATGGACACAGCAAATGAATGTAGTTAATTGGTCATATATTTTTAATGTGTACTGTATAATTTTAATTGAGAATGCTGCAAGTTCCTTTTTTTAATGCCTCATGACCTTTTAAATTCTACCTTCAACACACTAAACATTAACTTTTGGTTAGAAGTAAAGTTGCAAATATTTGCTTTTGTTTAAGGTACATAATTTCTATTGTGTACTGCAGATCATTTGTTATTAATTGCTATCTGAAAAGTTTTGGTATCACAGTATTTTTTCACTTGATAAATTGAAATTCAGAGGCATATCACATACTTTATTCATATTCATACTTAAACCTTTTTGATGGTCTGCCTTTGTTTGTTTGTTTTTAAAGTAGGCTCCACATCCAGCGTGGAGCCTAACGTGGGGCTTGAACTCACGATCCTGAGATCAAGACCTGAGCTGAGATCAAGAGTCAGCTGCTTGACTGACTGAGCCACCAGGGGCCCCAGTCTGCCTTTGTTTTTGTCAAGTCATTTGTTTTTTCATTTCTTCTAAATATTGGTCATGGGTCCTACTTAAGGTTTGTATAATGATGTGTAATGGCCTTAAATACTAGACTTGACTTCCACTAAGAAATGTGCCTTCTCTTATTCTTAAGCCACATTATCTTCTTGGTCTAGCTTTCATTTTCACACTCTTCAGATTGAGATATGGGTACAAGAAATTTCTCTTCTTATTTCAACTGAAAACCAACAACATAAGGAATGGTGATATGAGGTAATTGACACTCGGTCTCACCATCCAGAAGATAAAAAAAAGAGATGGTGAAGCTGAGAGCTCGTTCTTATCTAAAGGGTACAGGCTTATGCAGCTCCAGACAGATTTTGTCAGGTGGGAATTTGGGTTCAGTATAGCCAGACCACTTGCCTTTTCCTGACTTTTATGTGAAAACTTAAGATTTTTAAGTGTGGCAGCTAGTCCATGTGGGCTAATCCTATGCAAGCCAAGCAAAATAATCTGGGGGTCTGTTTGGTGCATAGGCATCCAGTATACTGCTTTTTTTTTTTAAGTTGATTTTTTTTTTTTTAAGATTTTATTTATTATTTGAGAGAGGTTGAGAGCATGAGTGGGAGGAGGGGAAGAAGGAGAAGCAGACTCCTGTGGAGCAGGGAGCCCCATGCGGGACTGGATCCCAGGACCCTGGGATCATGACCTGAGCCACCCAGGCTCCCCAGTATACTACATAGAAGGACCAGAGTTCCAGTAAGCACAGTAAAACCTTCATCCAACATGGGTGCTGGATCTTTCGCAGTGTGTTAGACGGTTCCTAGAACCTAGAGCCAGGGACTGACATGGAGGTGCTCAGTGAATGGAGAAGCTATGATGACTGTGTTGTACTCATTGAGGCCATGGGCTGTGAGCCACGTATTTCCCACCTAACCTCATCTGTGTTCTCTGTGAGTTAGGAGTGCTAGGCTGGAGCCACACAATGCCACATCAGCTCTGTGGACTGTAAAATGCTGGTAGCCTCTGCCCATGAAGCCTCCCTAGCCCTCTCCCAGCCAGAAGTCCACTCTCTTTGTGCTCAGGTCCCATATCACATGTTGCCTCTTCTGAAGTGTCACGTTTCTCCCATGAACTTTTATTTTGCTTATTCTCCTAACCACTGGCTGAGAGTGCCCTGTGGTAAGAGCCACGTCTCACTCACTCTGGTGCCTAAAGACTAGATGGAGAGTCCATAGTTCTCTACATTATGGATGAGCTAACATTTTTATTCTCAAAAACTCGATGAGAGAGGTGCTATCAGAATTGAGAGCAGTCACGTGGAAGCTCAGAATGCAGGATCTTGGAAAATGGTGGATTTGAAAATTTTCTCCTCTATAAAAGCAATGAGAAAACTGACACAAATTGTCAAAATCAACTTTTTCAGAACTCTGGAAATTAACAAGAGACTTACAGTAGTCTAGGAAGTGTTGGTTCAAGAAAAAATATTTGAATCTTAGAACAGCAAGTTTTCTTGCCCTGTTCCTGTAAACCTCTCCAGTTCTGTGTTAGCCTTGAGGACCAGCGGCTCACGGTCACAGTGAAACCAGGAGCCTGGCAGTCACTGGAGGGGGACGAACGGGGCTGGAGTCTCGTTACCAGAGGACTGTCACTCTTGGACCTGCTGGTATTTCTTGGGAGACCCCGTGGGCAGACTGTTTTTATTTGGTCTGACTTGGAGTTCACTCAGTGTGAAAGCTTTTACTTTGGGACCTTTGTCAAAACAGCAACTGACAGTTGATTAACTTTGTGGCCTGTCAGAGCTGATGGACAGCAATTGAGCAAATAGTAGGCTAACCAAAAAGCTTGAAAACCTGAGAATGTGATGTCTTTAGGGGCTTGAGCTTTGAAAAGCCCAGACACTTTCCTAGGAATGTAAAAGCCCAGGCACATGTAACACATGTTGTGTGTGCACAAATTCAGGGAAGACCTAGGAAGGCTCTCAACTCACTTGTTTGGCGAACCCTGAGGTTCTATGCAAGTAGGAAGTGAAGGCTTGGGTATAGTCGTCAACTGCCTTACTGAGTGTCGAATGCATTCCCCCGACATGCACAGGAGCCTTTTGGTGATGACCAGAAGACTTAGTAGTTCCAGGTATTTGGGATATCCATGGCCAGTCTTAGTAAGCTCTAGTTTAAGCAGAGACTTCAGTGGCCATATGTAATAAAGAATGCAGGCTTTTCAGAATTTGTTCATAAATGTTACTAAACAAACAAACAGTAAACAGCTGAAACAACAAACCCAGGGGGGGGTTCAGATTTCCAGAACTCCACATTATTTAAAATGTTCAGTTTTCAACAGAAGTTATGAGTCATGCAAAGGAATAAGAAATGTGTAGCTTATACGCAGGAAATAAAGCAAACAACAGAAACTTTGAGAAAGCCCAGGCATTGGACTGACTTGGTAAAAAATTCAAATTAGCTATTTTCATTATGTGCAAACAACTACAGGAAACCATGTGCAAAGAACTAGAGGGAAGGAGGACAGTGTCTCATCCAATAGATAATATCAGTAAAGAGTATTTATAAAAATAACTAAATAGAAGTTACAGAGTAGAAAATTATACTATCAAATTAAAAACTCAAGATTAGAGCACAGACGATAGAATTGGTGAATTTGAAGATAAGCCAAGGGAGATTATCCAGTCTGAAGAATAGAATGAATATGAAGGAAGAAAAATCAACAGTGCCTAAGAGACCTGTGGGACACCATCAAGCATGCCAACATTGCATAACTGGAGTCCCAGAATGAGAAGGGAAAGGGAGAAGGAATAAAATATTTAAAGAAATAAGGGCTGGAAACTTGCCAGATTTGATAAAGGATGTTCATTTACACATGCAAAAGCTCAATGAACTGCAAGTAGGATAAATTCAGAGAGTTCCACATCACCAGTGTCATCTTAGTGCATTAGGCAGCACGTCAGTCTCACAGAGAGTTCCACATCAGGACACATTGTAGGGACACCTGGCTGGCTCAGTCGGTAGAACATGCAACTCTTGATCTTGGGGTCATGAGTTCAAGCCCCACATTGGGTGTAGAGATTACTTAAATAAAATATTTAAGAAGACCATTTTAAACTTGAAAGCTGAAGATAGAGAATCTTGAAAGCAGTAAGAGAGAAACAACTCATCATATACGAGGAAACGCTGATGAAATTTAACAGTTGATTTCTCACTAAAAAACATGGAACCCAGAAGGTAGTGGGATGACATTGGAAATGTTGAAAGAAAAGATTATTAAGAGTTGAATGTCTAGAAAAATAAAGGAGAAAATGAAGACCTTTTAAGATTAGCAAAAGCTGAGAGGGTTTGTTGCTATACACTTGCCCTACAAGAAACCCTAAGGGAGTCTTTCAGGTTGAAGTGAAAGGACATTAGGTAGTAAGTTGAATCCACATGAAAATAACACTAGGGAAGTAACTGTATAGGTGTATATAAAAAGCAGTATATGTTTATTTGTAAGTCTTTTTTTTCTCTTTAAAGATTTAAATGACAGCTGCATAAAACAATATAGCTCTCTGTTGATGCATATATAATGTATAAAACGTAATTTGTAGGTGTAGCAGCACAATTGGAGAGGGGCAGGAAATGGTGCTACGTAGGAGCAAAGTTTTTGAATACTGTTGAAATTAAGTTGATATTAATCAAAACTAGATTAATCCCCAAGGCAGCCATTTAAGAACTCAAAAAATATGGCAGAAGAAATGACAAGGGAATTAGTACATTAGAAATTATTCAACACAAAAGAAGACAGTAACAGAAGACTAGAGGGGAAAATGCTTAAAACCTAGAAATAAGTAGCAAGATGACATGTAAATCATGCCTTGTCATTAATCATGTGAAATGTATTAAGTGTACACTTCAATAAAAAAGAGGTTGTCAGAAGGGATAAACAGTATCCAAGTTTCTCCTGTCTACAAGAGACATACTTTAGATTCAAAGACTTAGATAAGTTGAAATTTGAAGAATGCAAACAGATAAACCATGCAAACAGTAACCAAAGGAAAGTTGAAATGGCCATGCTAATATCAAAGTCGACTGTAAGACAAAAAGCATTACTAGAGACAAAGAAGGCTATTTTATGATAACTCAATCCATGAAGATCTAAAAATTATAAATACATGTGCACCTAATAACAGCAAAATACATGAACGGTTGACAGAACTAAAGGGAGAAATAGACAATTCAGCAATAAGAG